TTTCCTTTCGGCCGAAAAACATCTTTATTTTCCTAATGGATAATTCAAGTGACTTTTAAAAGATTAGTAAAAACCTAAGGATAACACCAACTTCGAAAAGGTATAAATAACTTGTTTAATATCTTTACACCTTGACATTATCTAGTACTTGTAAAAGGACTAAAAGAGGGTACTAAAAATGATAGCAACCGTTGGATATTGTAGCAAAGCTTTAATTCAATCATTCAATCAGAATTTGAGTCCCATGTAACACGAAATCAAGCCCCCCATTTTTTTTTTTCACTTTTATGTAACTTTTAGAGAGTGAACTCTTTTCTTTTTAGAAAAAGAAGGTTTGTGTCTTTTGAATTCAACTCTTACTTATCCTGGTCTTTACTCTCCGATTATTACCCCCTTTTAAGAAAGGACGTGCTTTTTCTTTTGTCCCTTCTTTTCTCCCCCTCTTTTTGAATTGTTAACATGGAGTATTTTTAAGTTTACACGTAATTTAAAATTAATTATTTTAAAAAAGTTTTTAAGAATGTATGTGGTATGAGCATAGTTAAATTTAAAGAAATTAAATTTTTTAAAATACTATTTTCATATTAAAATAAAAATGATTTTGGGATAATTTTGTTATATCATTTTTTAGTATAATTTGACGTATTATTTAAATGATTAATTCTTTTAATTCATATGAGATCCGTGATATTACTTATATTTATTTATTTAATAACATATGAAAGTTGTATCAAAATGTGATATAAAAAAGTTATTCTTATAATACTGTTCATATTAAAATTTAAAATTGAACATCACCTATAGAAAATTATTTTATTTGTTTTAAATGGGAGATTGAGAGATAATAGTTTATTTACCTTAATTTTTTTTATTGAAAAAGTTACATATAATATTATATATATTTAATATAATATTATCTTCAGTTCAAAAAAAAATATATTATCTTATATATATGTTGCATCTTTGTACACTATAATATCCATCTCAACTTACGAATAAAATCATGATTAAGCTACTAAAGAATCGTATTAAAGATGTAAGGGGTATCAAACAAGATCTAAAATTTTCCAATTTAGAACTTAAAACAAATATGGAGAGGCTAAGAAAAGAATATGGCCTTTTCTATTACTACATAGCAAGCCATCATAAAAATAAAATAAAATAAAATGTTGTAAGGTTCTTTTAGCTCAAATTCCCCCGCGCAAATCTTACAATAGTAACAGTAAAAACAAAAAACCCATTGGCCGGATAATTTAATATGATGTTATGCTGCATGATACGATCATCTTTTTGCGTTCGATTTTTTTCTGTTGAACGGAATATAACGTGAGTACGAAGGAGTTTGAATCTTAACTTTATAATTGAAGAATACACCTTATAAAAAGATATATAATTATTAGATTATAAAACTCAGGTATTTTTGCATTTGATTTCTAAATGTATGGTACAATAAGAAGTTAATAATTTACCAAACAAAGGAAGATACTGTTATGTTATGTTGGGGAAATAAGGGTTAGAAAATAGATTATTGGTTTCAAGGCATGCGATATACATCATTTTTTTTAAGATTAATTTCACTTAACCAGATTTTGTATGCAAAAAGGGTAATTTGAAATACCCGTGAGATGCAACGAAGCATCTTGTTGATCTAGTTTTTGTATTAGCAAAATCAACCACTAAACCATCATTTGGAAAGCAACAAAATAATAATTTTTGTACAAAGATTTTTACAATAATCACAAATACAAAAAAAGGGTTGATTTAGTTAGATAATAGTAGGGATTTTGTTATGTGTTTAAGAGAGTCTCGAAGAAGAAGAGATAACTTTATGTTTATAGGAACAAGATATTTGTTAGGAACAGACGTTTCTTTTCAATTTTATTCATTGAAAACTCTTTGAAAAGTCATTTGATTTGATTTAAATTCCAATTCACATGTTTCCTTATCTTCCAAAGTTATCCACTATTTCTTGAAAGGACAATTATATATACACCCAAACAATCAACACCCATCTCAACACTTAAGGCTAAAATGACGAGAGGTAAATTTGTAATTTTACTGTTCATAAGCCTTGGGTGTTGATTGTTTGGGTATATGTATAATTGTCCTTCTTGAAAAACCTATTAGAATTCTATCTTTTACTTTTGATGTAAATGGTTCAAACCATATAAATGTGTTTCGAACCAAAATCATGTTTTTCGAATGTTGATTTTACATAAATAGTTCAAATCATAATTATATGATTTGATCCAAAATTATACATTCTCAAATACATTCTGTGCAATTATTTTGAACCAATTTTTTGTGATTGATCTCAAATCTTGAAATTATTTAAAAAATTCTCCGACATGTTGTATGGTTCTACCAGCCTATTCATTGTACAATCAGAATTTAGAAATTATGGGTTATATATAAAAAAATTCAAAATTTATAAAGTTATGATGAAGCGCAAATCTTACAATA